TGGGACACTACCGAGGTACATGACGTTACAGTACAAGTTCTCATATGTCCTGAGTCTTAATTGACCTTAGAAGGCTAGGGCCAAAATGTTGGCTCCTTCTGATGTTTTAGCAACTGGTTTTATAGTTGTATCTTTGGTCAAACCTTTACCCAGAGAACAGGTTTTCCTAACAGTGCTTCACCTTATACTTTTTCGTCTAGAAGCCCTTTTATGATACTGAAGGATTCTCTGTTGGCTGCAAATATTGCAAGATGTCCGAAGACCTCCCAAAGAGGAGGGGGGAACTCAACTCACCCTATCCATGGGGTAGGTTGTAGGTTTGCTAACTTACATCTCAGAAAAATAATTTCCAAGATATGTCAGCATGAAAAGGTTTATTAGGCATGTTATGGTCTAGGGCTGGGTGTGAGGTAGTGATACAGGGAGTATGATATAGGAATAATAGAGACCCTCCAAATAATCCAAATAATGTAACTCCCAACCTGAAGAAGTCTGATATGCTGAGTTCATGTTCCCTAAAATCAAAGATTGAATTCTAGAACAGTGGAGATTAAGAGTAGGAAGTGTTTTTTGAGAGAAACATAGCTTCTGTCTAAGAGAGAAGGGGGTCCCAAGTGAGTGACCCCAGGGATGCTACTTTTGAAGGGAATTTTATAGAGCAAACCCATGAGATGAGGCAGGTATAAGGTGGGATAAAAGTATAATTAACTAATAAGATTACAGCTATGGCCACTTAGGTAACATTTTTTTTTTTTTTTTTACAAGAGCACAAATGCACTTTTATTTTCCGTTAGTTTAAATTCTTGAGGGGTACAGCATCACACGGATTCGGTGTCCGATGGCCTTAGCAGGAAGGTTGCTTCGGAACTTGGCACGAACCATGCCGCTGTTTCCATGGGCCCGAGTTACTTTTCCCCAGATCACTCTGGTTTTGTTTGGTTTGCCACCTGGAGTCACTGTGTTGTTTTTCGCTTTGTACACGTAAGCACATCTCTTGCCCAAGTAGAATTCTGTTTCATCCCGGGCATAAACACCTTCAATTTTAAGAAGAGCTGTGTGTTCCCTCTGGTTCCGGAGACCCCGCTTATAGCCAGCAAAAATGGCCTTGCACCACAGTCTTCCAGACATATTTGCCTTTTAGAAGTCCTGTTCCCGGCGGGTCCCACTTATTTGCCCCCACTTAGGTAACATTGATCCAATGGGAAATCACAAGGTGGGTATGATGTGGGACAAAACTATGGTCAACCAATAAAATTATGAAAATAATTGCTTAGGCAACATTGATTAAATAGGGATCAAGTGGGGAGGCAAGTCACATAGCAGGTGTGCACAGACTGAACAAGGACTCTTCTTGCAAGGGAGGGGCCAGGGAGGTTTGGGTCTCCCACGCAGGGTGATTGGTGCCTGTTAGGAATATCAATCCCTGTTGTTCAACCTTAAGGGAAGGATGTGGGTGTAGTCATTTCTTGATCCTGAGGCCTGACCTTCAAGGAATGCTCCCCCAGCCACGGCTGTCTTCCACACTGACCTTTTCCAAGGACCTAGCCCTATCTGATTGCCTATAATATTTCTAAATAACTTAGCTGTCTATAATGGTAGGATAGAAGCAATAAAAGAAAGGTATAAAGAACACAAGGAAATTGTAACTAAAATTTTTACTTTTAAGAAGATTGTACCTCTGGGACCCAATCAAAGTTAAATTTAAGCTGTTTTCTGTAGGAAAGAATGAAGAGGACTACATTTTGGTTAAGGCTGTGTGTAGGGCATAATTTCCAGTGGACATTAAATTCAAGTCAGCAAGGTTTCAGAGGCAGGCACATGTCCCAATACCCTAGTGTAAATAACTTCTGTAGCCAAAGTCAGTCCTGGCAGGTATAAATAGCTTACATAACAAAGGAGGATGCTGGCTCATGGCCACTATTGTGTATTTTGTATAAATGTCACCTGCCCCAAGGGGGAGGAGGAGACTATGCACAGAGAACTGCTGAGAGCATGGGCAGGCTAGAGGCCTGAGGACAGTCACAAGAAAGACCACCTGAGAAAGTTCTTTCTAAGCGACCAAGGCTCTTTATTTACTCCCACTGGAGCAAGCTGAGTTCAGAGAGCAGAATCAGCAGGAAGTGAGGGTAAAACAAAGGACTTAAAGGAGAAGGGGGAAAATAAAGGGAAGGGGAGGTGTTTGCTGCCTTGAGGAATGTGGGGCTGAGCCAGTGTGGTTGTGCTTCTCTGAATAGGCTGGGTATCTGATGAGTGTGGTCACTGTTCTTGGGATGGGCAGTGCAGATGGACATGGTTTTGTTCTTCTGTGGTTTCCTGCCATGCTTGTCAGTGATGGCCTCACCCATTGGGCATGACATTCCTGTTTCTTTTTTGTTACAAAGAAAAAAAGAGTGGGGGAGGTGGGCATTGTTTTTCGTGTCTTCCTGTAAGTCAAGTGGGCAGTGCAGATAACTTAATAAGAAGAGAGTTGTGGGGGATGGGGTGGGACATGGGGTTAGTGTTAGGTTTGTCCCGAGGCAAGGGGAGAAGCAGAAGTAAAAGAAAAGAATGAAAAAGGCCTTTATTGCCATTGAGCAGGACTCAAAGAGGCTTGAGGGCAGGGAGACCGGGAATCTTGTGACCTGAGACAATGGGAGGCTGACACTATGGATTTATGCTAGGGGCGGAGTTTGAGAGGCAGGTGCAGTGACACACAAGCTGATTGGAGGCTCCCTTGTATATGTGGGAAAGGTAAATGGAAGTTATATCCAGGGCTGGAGGGGGGAAAAAGGAGGAAGTGGTTTTTGGGAAGATAATCTGTTGTTTTGGGGATTTAGCCATGTTGAGTCAAAGCCATGATAATTTAGCAGCTTATACTTAGGCCAGAACCTAGACCTAAGGAGGGACTGGAGTGGCCACATAGGTGGTTGAAGATATGGAGATATAAAGTCAATAATCTTGGCTAAGGAAGTATTGGGCCAGTTTAGGAAGGAGCAAGTTACCTGCAGGGCTCTTTAGAGATGATCAGGGACTATCCGGAGGGGTGGTGGGGTGCAATCATGGGGCATGGCAATAGGAACAGGAGGGCTAGCTGGACAAGAGAGTGCAGAGAGGAGGAGGACAGTTTGACTAGTTTGGGGAGAGATAACACAGTGCCCTGAAAAAGGAGATCTTTCATTCATATAAGAAATGACTCACAGATAGGGACCTGAGGGTGAAACAAAAAAGATAAGGCAGACTGAATGAACAAAGTGAGTGAAGCAGCAGAACAGGCAAGGAAAGGCATTCAGGTGTCTTCTGAAATTTGGGTCAGATGCAGGGAAGTAGGAGAGATTACTTGTGATTTTTCACAAGGAGGAGTCAGGCTAGTTATCAGCAGGACACAGCTGCACCCAGGAGTGGTATACCCACTGGGGAGGGGCTCATGGACAGACCACCATCATGTGGTGTGACCAGGAAGGGTCCTGTCTGCTTAGGCTATAGGATCCAGGGATTCAGGCCTTTAATTAGGACATATTTGTTAGTGAGGCTATGCTCATGAGCGTGGGTGTTGGGAGAAGGTTAGCAGTGTGTCATCTTTTGGGGCTTGTTTGCAGAACTGGAAGATGGTCTCTGAGAGGGCTGGCCTCTGAGCTGTGGTTTGGCCCAAGCAGAAAGGTGCAGCCATACAAAAGCTCAAATGGGCTGTATTTCATAGATTCCCCAGGGGTGGCTCGGATGTGAGGGAGAGTGATTTGGAGCAGGGTAATCTAGTCTTTATGGAGCTGGAGTGTGAGCTTAGTGAAGTGGGCCTGGAGGAGGCCATTATCTCTCTCTACCTTTTAGTATGAGTGAGGCTGCTAGGGGATGTGGACGTTTTAGATTTTTTTAAAAAAATATTCATTTATTTGGTACAGGGTCTAGCTATGCAGTTTGGATTCATAGTGATCCTCCTGTCTCAGCCTCCCAAGCACTGGGATTACAGATGTGTGCCATCATGCCCTGGGCCGGCATGCACTACCAGGGATCGAACCCAGGTCCTTGTGCTTGCCAGGCAAGAACTTAGACTGCTGAACTATCTCCCCAGCCCTGAGGTTTTAAGTTTTTAAGAGACAGGCTAGAGGAGAGGAAGGGGGAATCAAAGAAGGAATGTTTCCCATGGAGAGCGGAGAGAGGTAATTGTCATGTCCAGTGCGGCAAGATGAGAATAGCAACCAGGTCCACAACAGATGTCTCCAGTTGGGCTCAGGGCCATAATGTGGGTGAGTGGTCAAGGCAGGCATCCCTGCCCTGAGCCAGACACCAGGGGAAGACATTCTTCCCAAAAGGTGTTTCTGTGACCAGAACTGGGGTTAAATGGCACTGAAAGCAGAGTGAGCCTCTCTCTGTCCCAGTGGACAGAAAGGTGGAAAGGCAGGAGAGAGGCGGGAATAGGTGTGAGAAGTAGGAGGAAGACATGAATTGCTGAAGTTTATGGGGTGAGTAGAGGCTGAGTGGGGCATGTCTGGTGATTTTGAGCATTTCTAGGAGTAACAGAGCCTCTTCCAAGGTCCGAAAAGAGAAGAGAGGAAAGATTGTGATCAAGGGTTCAGTGGGGTCTCCTTGTATGAGTTTGTAGTGTGGTTTAGTGAGGAAAGCAGAGCCAGGTACCCAGAGGTGAAAGTATTTTGTTATGCCAAGAAAGGAGAGGCATTTTTATTTGATGGTGAGGGCTAAGCACTATGGGTTTTATGGGAAGGACAATTTGGTTGATAGTGCACAGATCTTCTACCAGCCTATAACAGCCATCTATCTGCCTTTTGCCAAGAGAATGGGCGTGTTGTAAGGGAAGTCAATGGGGATTCAGAGACTGTGTCACAATAGGTGAAAAATAATAGGTTGTAGTCCCTGTACAGCCAGAGAAGGCACAGGATACTTTTGTTGGGTAGGGCAGGAGTGGTTAGGCTTGAGAAAGATGGCAAGTGGTTGTTGGAATGAAGCCAGAGATGGTGTAGAAGTGTCCCAGACTCGGGGGTTGAAATGAATGGAAATGATGGGAGCCATGGTGGGGGACAGGGAAGAAGTCATTGGGGTGGCTATAAGTATTGGTTGTGTCAGGCTGATCAGAGTAGCTGACAACTTGGTTAAGACATCTTGCCCTAAAAGGGGGATGGGATAGGTAGGAATGACTGAAAATGAGTGTGAGAAAAGGTGTTGACCCAACTGGCACCAGATGGGGGTAGTTTTTAAGGGTCTGGAGACTTTACTATCAATGTCCATAACAGCAATTAGGGCCAAAGAGGTTGGTTCTTGGAAGGAAGGCAAAGTGAAGTGGCAGGCACCCATTTCAATTAAGAATTAGATGGACTTACCACTCCACTGTAAGAGTCACCTACAGTTTGGCATCCTACATGTTCCAGGAGGGCCTCCAAAGTCTTTGGACAGCTTCAATCTTTGGTGGCCAAGCCAAGAAGGTCTATAATTGATTTAGCTGTGAGAGTCATGTTTAAAGAAGGAAGCATTGGTAGCAAGACTAATAATCAAGAGATCTAAACCATTGTTTTTTATTTTTTGAGAGAGAATGAGAAAATATCGAACAGCAAGTTGGAAATAGTTGAAGCACTTTTTACCTTGTAAAAGAGACCATCTCTAGAGATAGAAGCAAATAAATAATAGCTCAGAGGAATTCCCCCCTGGTCCCTAGGGTGAAGAGGCTTCCAAGACATTTCTATTATCCATTGAATCATCTTCCCCCTGGTCCCTAGGGTGAAGAGGCTTCCAAGACATTTCTATTATCCATTGAATCATCTTGGCAATCCCTTTAGCAGCAAGACAAGACTACATTTTTTGCTTTTCTTTCTTTCTTTCTTTCTTTCTTTCTTTCTTTCTTTCTTTCTTTCTTTCTTTCTTTCTTTCTTTTTTTGCAGAACCGGGAATTGAACTCAGGCCCTTGCACTTGCCATGGAAGTGCTTATTCCACTGAGCCATCTCCCCAGTAAATTTCTTTTTTTCTTTTTTTGGCAGAACCGGGTATTGAACTCAGGCCCTTGCGCTTGCCAGGGAAGCGCTTATTCCACTGAGCCATCTCCCCGGTCAGACTACATTTTTTTTGTAAAGTCTGATCTAAAATTTCTGTATCTCGGGCGAGGAGATGGCTCAGTGGAATAAGTGCTTCCCTGGCAAGTGCAAGGGCCTGAGTTCAATCCCCAGTTCTGCCATA